AAAAAAATAAAATTTTAAACTTTAAAAAAAAAAAAAAAAAGATAATAAAATTTGAGACAAATTGAGGACCACTAGTATGCACAGTAACATCGCAAACCCCTCTGAAACATAGGAGCCAGAATGATCAATTCATTGATCGTGGGCCCACAAAATAAAGAAGAAGAAGAAGAGAGTATTTGATTGATTTCCAATGGTCACGTGGTGCCGAACATCTGAATTAATTAATGTCATTCTTCATTCTCGCTGGTGTATCATTGTAAGAAATGAGAGCCGTGATGGATACATCTGATGTGCCTTTGTGTTCACCCCCTCGTCCAATATTCCGAAGATGTTCACCGAACCTATCCGATAACCTTCTTCTCTTTGTTCATTGGATTAACATTGATTTCAGTGAGAGAAATTATTAGCGAACGTTTCGGTTTGAGAGTGGAGTAGCGGAACGGATCAAGTTCGTTAATCCAGTTTCCACTCTACCTTCTGCCACGAAGAGAAGAAACCTAAAGCCAAAAGCGTTTGCCCAACGTTCGACATCCTTGTAACCCTGTCTACAGTTTCCTAACACTGAGTACCCGACGTTTAAAAAACAACAAAAAAAACTGCATAAACTTTAATAACAATAATTTTTTATAATTTTTTTTATTTTGCAATGTACCCCCACCAAACTCTTCCCGTACCCCTAGGGGTACGCGTATCACAGCTTCGGAAACACTGTTATAGACACACCATGTAATGCTATTAGTCAGCCATCTAACTTACAACCGGAAAGGAAACAAGTTGGCATTCGTTCGGTGGTTCTCATCATGTTGAGATTGTTGGTGTATATGTGCCTAGTGTTGCACGGGTGTTGTCTGTGGACACATTAATTACCGGTACTGGTTGAACAGTTTTTTTCAGTATGTTTACATGGTTTATGATTTTGTGAGTTTTAACTTGTGTGTGTTTGCGTGCTTCAGTTAATTGTGGTAGCTGCTGATTCCAAGGGGGAGGACCACTCGTGACCTCACGGTTTCTATTCCACTGCGCTCTAAGAAGAGTCATGAATAAATTAACTCCCCTTCCCCCCAACCCCTTTTCTTATACCTGACAATTTATCTGGATTAGGAAATAATTTTACAACACAGCCACACACAAAACAGAGCCTTCGCGTTCACAGGGCTTGACCGTGTCAACTTTGACCTGTGGGTCTCGGTGTCAACCTTGGCCTGTGGGTCCCCGTGTCAACCTTGACCTGTGGGTCTCGGTGTCAACCTTGGCCTGTGGGTCCCCGTGTCAACCTTGACCTGTGAGTCTCGGTGTGGGCATCCGTTTCACCTTGCCTGTAGATCCCTGTGTCAACCATGGTCTGCGGGTCTCGGGCAGTAAGCCAAAATCGAATTCCTTTAATTTGCTCACGCGCGTGGTTGTAACACACACACATACTTCTCATAGTTTGGAAAGTAGCCATCAACGACAAATAGGATGTCAAAACTTAATCTAAAAAAACACCTTAAAACCATAAATAACACTATTTCTTCTGTTAGTTGCCAAACGACTTTCATTGAGTAACTGTATGGCTTATTAAACACACTGTTAAAAAATAGAACACGCTTTCTTGAATTGTAATCACATTCCTGAGTTAATCTACATGTTAAAAAGTGAGCCGTTTCCATGCTACCGGGTATTTACATGTTGATAATTAACTTATGTTTCTATATAACATGGTAAAATGTGACTAGTATTGCTACGGTCTATCACATGTCAAAATGTGACCTGATGTTGTTACGTATTACATGTTAAAATGTGACGTCTTGTGTCGCTATATTACCTGTTCAAATGGGACTTCTTGTATTATTTCATGTTAAAATGTGACTTGTTGTGCATGTTTAAATGTGACTTGTTGTAGTGCATGTTTAAATGTAACTTGTTGTAGTGCATGTTTAAATGTGACTTGTTGTCGGGCTGACCATGACAAAGACTGCTTAAGCCATACAAATTATGACTTGGGGGTGCGAGAAGGGTGTTGAAAAGAGGGGGTGCGACGACGCTCCGAAAAGTTAAAAAAACTGCTTTAGAGCATGGTCTTCTTTCCCTCTCAGACTTAAAACAAAGTGCAATTAAATACTAGAATTAGAATGCTCGTCTATTAATTATCTAATGACTATGACAAGTTTCCTTATTGAACCACTTGATCCCTTTTTTTAACAAGGAGCTTTAGTACAAACTAAATAACCTGAATGTGCTGCCACCTATGACGTGTTTTCTGGAGGTCCTATTTTTATATAAATGTTTGAGGATCATTGGAATATTGGTAATACGGTGTCGCAACTTCGCCTCTCGCTTATTGGCCAGCCTGTTCACCGCTGGGCACTTTCCTGAATGGAGGAGTGCCGCTTTTCTTTGAAATTGGAAGCAATGTACCAGTACCGCTGCAGACGCACGGTTGCACATTTTGGACTGTAAGGTTTACACCACAATGTCTTGCTATTCGCCATGTTGGTAGGAATGGTATTCTGTTGCTGATATTTTAAAGGAGAGGCTCATTCATTATTTATCCATGATGAAGCTGAACTGTATACTTACATCTTAGTTCTTAACTTATAATGTTGTGTAGTGTGTATCAGTGTATCTTGAAAATAATAATAAAAAAGATAGTTTGCAGGCAATATGAATGAATTCGAAATTTTTTTTATTACCAGTTAGATTAATTTTTTAACATTAGAAAAAAACAAATCAAAACTTTTTTATGCCTTGTGTGTAGTCAATTTTAAGTATGTAAATAAAGTTTCGAGCAAGACAACGTTTTGGGCACCAGTCAGCTATATTCACAATGTATTACATTGATGCTAATTATAGGTCCTGTTGTTGACACAAGGCGGTTGGGGTGGGGAGGCCATTGACATTGGGTGTTGGCCGGATGTTGTTGATCAAGAGGGACGGTGTTTAGGACTTAAAGCTTCCTTAAAAAAGTAGGCCTATAACATGCATGTATTTTTTAAGAACCACTCATACTCATGTTATTCAAATAGTACCCATATTCCCACTGCATACTAAGTAAGAGTGTCTAGAGCAGTTGTTTTTAATCTTTTCCTAATGGCTAATGGCACCACCCTAAATAAAACCAATTAATAATCCCTACTGTGGCACTCCACACATATCAGACATCATATTATATCTTTTCTTAATTTTCAGTCAGTATAAATATGCTTTAAAAGAGTGCACATTACTACCAATTAGGGCCTAGATATGGCCTGAATCAATAGATGTCAGTTGTCATCAGGGGTGGGCAAACTGCGGTTTGCGAGCCACATGCAGCCTTCTGAAACATATGTGGCCTTCTGAAACATATGCGGCCCACGAGACCTTCCGGGAAATAGATTAACGCCTTTTTGATATTTTATAAGTACTGTGTAACATGTACTACTATTGTCTGACTGTAATTGTAATAGTAGCCTACAGCAAATTTAAATATTACTTAGACTTAAAACTGCTTTTTTTCAAAATGAACTCATAATGAATTTACGAAGCCCATATTCATTGTTAATATTAAATTTGCTTCTCCATTCTCTAAAAAAAATGTGGCCCAGCACCAAGTCAGTGAATTCAATATGCACAGAATAAAACTGCTAAAATTAGTAGTATGGTATTTCCAAGCTTAATTCCTCAGCACAGGCCTGCAAAATCATTCTCTGTGTTAGTATTATTGACTGCCCAATTTGCTTGATGTTTTGCTGCACACTTTTTAAAGGTTGTTTAAATTATTTAACAAAAATAATTTTTATTCTTTAAAAAAATGTTTAATATCTAATATTTAAGAGTTTAAAATAGAAATAAATGTGCACATATAAAGAAACTAGAAAACATTGGAAAATAGTGTCAGACGTCGATAAAGACTGGACATCTAAGTATTTTTTCAATGAACATGCTGTGTGCTCAATATGTCTGAAGTCTGTGACCATTTTAAGAATAAAATCTCAGACAACATTTTCAGACTAAGCATGGTAATTTGGCAAATTAATTTAAATAAAGCCGAATTAAAGTGCAAAGCTGATAACTTGGAGAGAAATTTAAAACAGAAACAAGCAATTTTTGCATAGTCTGGTAAAGAAACGGCTACAATGGCCAGTTTATTTATAAAAGACAATGTTTTAAAAAACAGTTTATTATGCACCAGTTTGTTCGTCTCAGTATTATATTTTTATATGATATTGACAAAACTTCTGATCTGCAGCTAGAATAAACAGACTGACATCAATCTCAGATAGAAATTAAACGACATTTACATTTGAATTAAAAAAATTGTAGGCATCTCTTTAACAAGATAAGCTTCCAAATTTAAAACACTTTGCTCTCAAATGGTTGCAGAACTAGGCTCAACATACACCCGAGAGCAAACTTTCTCCTGCATGAACATCACTGAATACAAACACAGGTTTCATCTCACTGTTAGAAATTTGGATTCTATGATACACAAGTACCGGTACTCTTTATTCCTGACTAGAGGGCACTATTTAAATAGAATGAAGCTGCAAAAATTTCATTAACCCTCTTGGGACGTAAGGGCTGATCTATCGGCTCAAGGTGGACAAGCGAGAAAGACGAACGTCCGAACCATCGGCCCTATAAATCGAGCCTTGTGATTGGCTGGCTTGGCATTGTACCAGCGAATAAAATGTATTCTTAAGTATTCCTGCACATTACCGCATTGTAATGGCAGCATTTGTTGATGGTGAACTAGATTTATTTGTGTGCAGGAATTTTTTGTGTGTGTACAGTTATATCGTGAAATTCGAACATGTCTGACAGTGACTCTGATCAAACTGTGCTTAGTGATTTTGCTTTCTAGCAGTGAATCTGACACTGAGACTGATGAAAACAACCAGGAAATTAATGAAGATTTTCAAATTGAGGGTAATGCTAATATTGTGAACTCTTGGTTTAGTATAACTAGTATTAGAGGTCCTCAACTGGACATAGATGACCCCTCTGAATTTTTAGACAACATAAGCATCCCATTTGAGTACTTTATGCTATTTTTTACCTTAAATATCACTCAAATGTTTATGAGAAAGACCAATAGGTACGCAGTCAACTTTCTCAGTAGCATCCAGCTTAAGAGAAGGTCCGTAACAACTGAAAAATAGGTGGGGGGGGGGTGGCATTGAGAAGGAGTAGAACCATGTGCCAGATGTATCTGAAGGGCCTCCATGGGCCTTGTTTCCCAAAAACATAAGTGTTAGGACTTATTCAGGCTTCATCCATCAAAAAATTCACACAATTGATGCAAGTAAGCCATGTTTATTCTAGGTTTAACCAAAAATTACAAGCATAAATTATGCAAATCATTGTAGCTCATTTGCATAAATTTTATTTCTGTTTGATTCATAAAGATGGTATTAGTTCATTCAATTTCCTACAAGAAAATATATAGTTTTACCTATATTAAGGAAATAGTTTATTTTTTATAATTTTTTTTGCAATGCGAGTGCCGAGCTCGTAAAATGTGCTCTGTCTCTTTGGCACATACACCCCGAAAAGGCCTTGTCCTAAGAGGGTTAACAATACCATAACCACAGGCTGGCCGAAAGTCTTGGAACTACAGGAGGCTACCATATACATTTTTTTTCACTACTTAAAGGGTTGCACATGAGCATCTAACACTTGGTTATCAGCCAAATTACCCATATATTTATACAATAATTACTTGTAGAACTTAACAAGCAGTCTTTTACTATATATCACGGTCTGCTTTTTCTTCCTCTCTAGATGTCCTAAAGTTGTGAAAGCAGTTAATCTGTTGTGCTGCTGAACATTATAAGTATGCAGTGATGGAGAGTGAAAAGGAAAAATTGCAACGGCATTTTGGCCTGATTCCTGACCCTACACAAAAGTAAGCCCATACTTTCTATGTCAGTAAAGACATTATTCTTTTTTTTTTTTTAGCTAACATTGCAAAACTCTTGTTTTAATTAGCCTGAATGGTCTAATTTCCCCTACATAAATAATAATAATAAAGTTTATTTGAAAAACACACTTCATCCCCAAAAGCTCGAAGCACGGTACAATGTCAACCATGTTAAAAAGAGAAATAAAAACAATCTAAAATTTACCACATTTAAAAACAGACGCAACAATATAAAACTACATACGAGCATACCCAGTCAAAGTTTTTCATCCCGTTTCAACCATAAGCAACACAAGCCAATATACATTAACTGAAAAAGATGGTAGATAGCATCACCCCAGAAGGTGTTTGCGAAATAGATGTGTTTTTAATTTGGTTTTAAAGGACTCCAGTGTCTGGCTGTTTCTGAGAGCGCCTGGAAGTGCGTTCCAAATTGTTGCTGTTGGGATTTTCAAAGGTTTTACTATTTTTTTAACCTGGTTAATGTTTCTCATAGATGTTAATCTTCTAACTTAGTCAGTGTACCTAACTTAGAATGGATTAATATTAACAATATTCTGTAACTTAAAGTTTAGCCATTTTAAATTTACTTATATTGAAAATGAACAAGGTACTTGAATATTTTTTATTCTTATGGAATTGAAGTTTATTATTAAAACATATAAAATCATAGCCCAGCCATTTAAGGGTGATACAAAAATATATATTCATACAATGTTTACCAAATTCTGTAATAATAGCTGTCTTTACATCCTTATTCCAATAAAAATAATAAATATACAGTCAAATTTTGGATTATCCAAATGAATTGGATACTGGGGTTGTGCGGATTAACTATTTTTTGGATAACGCTAAACTCAGTGGAAAAAGTGTGTTAAAGAAGCCAGTCTTATACACATGATGCTTTATTATTGTACAGTGTAAGTTGAACGGTATCCATCAATCTTCTGTGTTTAGTGTAATATGAACAGTAATGATGAATCTTCTGTGTACAGTGTAATATAAACTGTAATTATATATCTTCTGTGTACAGTGTAATATGAACTGTAATCATACATCTTCTGTGTACAGTGTATTATAAACAGTAATCATGCATCTTCTGTGTACAGTGTAATATGAACTGTAATCATACATCTTCTGTGTACAGTGTATTATGAACTGTAATCATCAATCTTCTGTTGTTTCAAATGTGAAATTCTTTAATTTTTTGCCAAGTCCCTCAACTTTTTCAGAAGCTAAATTTTATTGAACAACACTCCTTCGCAGTTAACATAATTTTTTATGTGTCAAACCCGACAAAGTGGATTGGGGTCACGGAGTTCCGTATATACTCTTTTACAGGTAGCAGTTGTTAACCAAATATTGTGATTAAAACCAAGGGTGTGACCTATCCACTCAATATTAATTTTGCTTAATATTCAGTATGGAATAGTCATTGATACTTAAAGTCGGAGAATTGATTTCTCCCTTCCACTCAATTGCACACATGCGGAAGGCATTCTGTTTTTAATAATTTTTTTTAAAGATTACGTTAGTTTGTGAATTCAGTAATTTAGTCTCTTAAAATTAGTATTTGTTCAAATTCAAGCAAGCAGTTGGCAAAGCTGTGAAGTCTGTTTAACAAGTATTAGTTATATTTACGTGACCTTTCTGTGGGTCAACTGCAGATACTCTCTTTGACAATCCTAAACTGAGGGGGCAACATGTACTGAGTATGTACAATACTGGAATTTTTTCAGCAAAAAAGGTCATTTCCAAAAATAGATGACTGGCGATTAGAATAAATTCCAAGGTAATTTTTTCTTAGCAGGGGTGTATTCTGCCCTATTTATTGATTAAATAGTTGACAGATTGCATCATCCCATCTAGTGAAAGGATGTCAAGGAAGGTAAGAAACCAAAAACAATCACCACAAAATGATTTAAATCAAATTTTTATTGTGTCACCATCAAACATTTTATAGATTCGTTTTTATTAAAAATAGTGAAAATTATTACCCTAGCTATACAAAAGTCAAATATTCTGAGTCCTGTTTATGTCTTATAACTCCTGTCACATACAAGTGTTGTTTATGTCTTGTAACTCCTGTCACAGACATGCTTTTTGTCTTGTAACTCCTGTAACAGACATGCTTTTTATGTCTTGTAACCCCTGTCACAGACATGCTTTTTATGTCTTGTCCTGTCACAGACAAATGCTCTAGTCAACTTAATAATTTAATAGCAGGATTATTATAGCAGCTTTATTTTATTTCTCTGTTTCTCTCATTAGGTTAACAGGAGAAATTTTAAAATTCTGTCAAAGGTATCCACATCTACGGAAGGATATTTTAAATTTACTGCTTAAGAGGCTGCAAAAACCTCACCATGGTGTGGCTGAAAAAGAAGCAGAATTTTCAATGTGTAATGAACATAATAATGACAAAGAGGACTCTTGCGAGCAGACCTACACTAAAGAACCAATTAGAAGCAATATCAAAGAATGCACCAATAGGAATGGCTGTAGAGACCAGTTTCAACAAACAGTTGGGAATGACGAAGAAGAAGATGAAGAGAAATGTGAAAAAGACTTGGCAGAGAAAGAGAAGTGCCAAGTTGATGACCATCAAAGTTATCAGTATGGAGAGAAGCATGAAATTGATAGTCCTGAAAAGGCAATAAGTGAATTGAACATGTTGTCTGCCGGATCAGCTTTGCAAGATGTTTGTTTGTATTCAGGGGGGATGAACATTTTTGATCCTTTGCTTTACAGTATCTGTAACAACGATGATGAACACCTGGGGCTCAAGACAAGCGACAAACTGGACAGTTTCAAAGCTGCCATTTATATCATTTATGAGAACAATATCTGCAAGCCTTCATTGCCTGGGAAATGCCAGAGCAAGAATATAGTGGAGATGTTTACAGGCCACGATGTGAACACTTCACACAACTATACTGCAACTATAAGGCTGTATGACAGTCTTAAGCCTATCAATCAACCTGTGATGGTTGCAACACAAACATTGGACTTGATGAGTTCAGAGCTGAAATTGGCAACTGTTACTTTACAAGCTGGAGCTGAGGAAAAACCCATGTCACAATCTGAAGCCTTGGGCACAGATGAAAAAAATCAAGAAAACTTTTTGAAATCAAACAAGAAAAGGAAGATGAAAAACAAGAAGAGATTTTATTTCAAAAAGACAGAGTCCAACAAAAAAGGGATGATTCATAAAATGAAGATTGGGAGATGCTGTAAACAAGCAGGAAAGATACAAAGGAAGAAAAGCAGGCACAACAGATTCAAAGCTAAAAGGGACAAACAAAAATATTGGATTTTAAAAAAAATTGATAAAAGCAAAATGTGGGCTGAAAATGCACGTGAGAATAGAAGATCACCTCAGCACTTTGGATATCTTTTTGGTTGGTCATTTTTCTCTAAACTTATCTCCAAACATCTTTTAATTTTCATATTTTGAATATTATACTACAAAAGTGTATGAAAATAATACCCAAAAAATAAAAAAGAAAAATTAAAATATGACAGTAATTAATTTTTAATGTCATATAATTCGGGCATTTGGTCTAATAATAAGTTTTTAATGTCATTTACTGCAGGTGTTTGGTCAAATAACAATAGAAATAATAACAGCCCGCTTCCAAGTGGACCACACAAAGTTCGGACTCACTCAGGAGTAAACCATTCTGGTGGTGGTGGAACAGGAAGTGGTAGAGCTAATGGAGGTGGAACTTCAGGGAATTCCGAAAGTAATGGCAGTTCTTCTGGAAGTCAGGTACTTGTTTCATAGTGTTAAGTTGATGATTGAATATTTAACATTGTATCAGTTTCATTAAATCAAGTACATGGCTGTTATGTTCCATTCATTGGAATAATAAACTCTCTGAATAACAAAGCTCAAAAAAAATTGTTAAAATAGGTGGCTTCATTACCTAACGTATGATTAAAACCAATTTATATTTTGGGGAGTTTTGGTATATGAAAAATAAGACAAAAGCACAACAATGTTTGTTAATGTAACAAGATTTAATCCCCCCCCCCAAAGGCCAACGGAGGATCTTCAGGTGGACAAACTGGAGGAAATGGAGGACCTGGGGATGACAGGCGGCGTAATGATCAAGGCAGATCTAGCAACTCAAGTCCTAGTCTTCCTAATCCAAAACTAGATGAGAAACATATTGCCATGAGAGAAACAGTCAAGAGACAGAGAGGAGTTCCCCCCAATTATTCAGTGATCTCAACAAATGTTGTACAGACTGGGAACCATATGATACAAGCTGGGAACCCTGCGGTACAAGCTGGGAACCCTGCGGTACAAGCTGGGAACCCTGCGGTACAAGCTGGTAACCCTGCGGTACAAGCTGGTAACCCTGCGGCACAAGCTGGGAACCCTGCGGCACAAGCTGGGAACCCTGCGGCACAAGCTGGGAACCCTGCGGCGGCACAAGCTGGGAACCCTGCGGCACAAGCTGGGAACCCTGCGGCACAAGCTGGGAACCCTGCGGCACAAGCTGGGAACCCTGCGGAACCAACTGGAGCTGACAGTGTACAAGCCGAGACTATAGAGGCCATGATGCAAGGTTGCGTTCAGGTTGATTATGATGCTGTGATTAGTGTTCAGCACGCGACATTGTCAATATTACAGCTCTGTGATCTTTTAGGAACTTCAGTAAGTGCTTTCTTGATTAATTTCTCATTAAGTGGACAATATTATAAGCTCTACAATTTTCCTCTTCAAAAGCCACTTAGGACAGGGTGTCCAAATCTTGTCTATATTCCACATCCCCATATACATTGTTTGACTAAATCTCGCACCCTTAAGGAAACTAACAAGGCGTTTAAAAATTGAAACAAAATGGACTGCTAATTGAGCTTTTGAGGCTTATAATGTATAATGTTAATAAAGAAATTAAAAAAAATATATAAACATTTCTATGAGAACTTTAAGATGAATGGCTTCTGTGTTCTTTTGATCCCTTTTCCTCACACCACTTTAAATGCCCAGGTTGGTAAACCCTGACTAGAAACTTATTAAGTTCTTAAATGTTGACATCATCATTGGTGCATCACAACCTGATTTTTGATGATGTTGTAAGACTAATATTATATCCTTCAGTGTCATCTTGACAACAGATATTTCTTCATTTGGTCATTAATAACAAGGCTAAAAGAACAATGATAAGTTTTTATTTTTTAGAAATTAACTTTTTCAATAGCAAGTATTTTTGTTAACAACTGTTATTTCCCTTTTGTTTTCAGACGAACACCATTCCCATTAGTTCTGAGGCGGTGATCAATTTTAATCTCTGTCTGACCCACGCATTGCACGACCTGTCGTATTCTTCACTACTGGTCGCCAATGACCCTATTTTTGTGACCATAAGTGAGTGCACCGCCTGTAATGTTCTGTCTCAAATACTGAAACACCTGGCAAGTTTGACCCATATACAGACAGCACATACATGTGATCAGTGCTCACAGATCTTCAATTTGATCTTATGGCATGCTACTTGGTGCATAAGTGCGGGCAGGCGTAAAGCCAGGTTAAGTCGCTGTGACCTGTGTTACAAAATTTGTAAATCTGCCCAGTGGAATGCAGACATGTTGCAGACAAACCAGTGGAAACTCCTGTTGAAGGTTTGTGGTTATTCACTTTTTTACTGTTGTTCTGGATCTCTTTTCTCAGCCTCAAAAATTATTTTAATGTTTTTCTAATAAATATAAATATGAAAAAAGTCTCATGAAACCAAAAAAATTGTTATGAGGTAAACTTCATATTTTTTTCATCTTTAGGTGAAAAAATATTGTGCTAAAGTTTTAGGTAGTGGCGCTGAGAGTTATGAGAGTGAAATTTCTCCCATCAAGCAAGGACCAGAGGTTGGAATTGGTGAGACAGATAACAGGTTCAGTGAGACTGAAGCCTTAAACTTAGTTTCATCAAACAGCAGTCTGTCATTTAATGGCAACATTGTCACCACAGAATCCTCAGCTGAGCTGCAAGAAACCGTTCCAGATGGTCCATTACAGTCAACCTATTATACCAATACTATGCCGCCCCAGATTTCCTTGGGAGCCTCTTCCTCAAGCAGCATGCCAGGCTTTGGGTCATCTTCTACAAGCAGCATTCCAGGTTTTGGGTCATCTTCTACAAGCAGCATTCCAGGCTTTGGGTCATCTTCTACAAGCAGCATTCCAGGCTTTGGGTCATCTTCTACAAGTAGCATTCCAGGCTTTGGCTCTCTAACTAACATGCCTTGTCCAACCTCAGCCAGCCATGGAGACACATACGTCCACAACAAATTGTGTCGCAAGAACAGCCAAAGAAGATCAACTAGTATTCCGCAGCCTATAGCCGAAGAAAGTGGTTTTGATGAAAAAGATTCAGAGGTTCCCTTAAATGGTAAGTAAAGACGTTGTGGACATTTTAAATGAATTAAAATTTTTAGTCTCTTTATGTTAGTATTTGTGAAAATTATAACAAACAGCTGGCTCAGTTTCTTACATAAATTATACAATTTATAAAATACCCATACATTTTTTCAAATTTTCTAGCAAAGAAAAAATGTAACAAAAAGGGAATTACTGAAGTATTTGTATCAGAGCATCCCATGTTATTTTGATGTATTTTAATTCAACAGGTGGGACAAAGGATGATTTTGAAAAATTCATCGTAGGAAGATATGTAAGTTCAAATAATAGATTTCATAGTTATTGTAAGTTCAGATAATAGATTTTAAATTAATTGTAATTTCAAAAAATAGATTTCTGAATGAATGGAGAAAGGGAGCTAATCTATTCTCCTATTCTGGATTAATGAACTTTTCAATGATTGTTTTAAAGACCTGGGATTTACATTATTTTAAATTCACACCCATTCTTTACCTTTAAAAGAAATATATATGTAGCAAAATTGGTTCGGTTTGAAAGCTCTTGTTTGACTTAATAAATTTAGATCATGAATTTCTCAATTTAATTGGTTTTATAAGAGTGAAGATCCGTATGACACCCAGCGTACTTATGGAGAACAAAACAGGCACACCAGCATGCCTTTAGGAAATGTGCACGAGCCGGAGCAGTTTATGTCCCTGTGGAAATATCCTATGGGAGAACCTGGTGTAGGAGCAGTTGTATTTGGTCATCCGTCACAGCTGAGAAAAGTAGCTAGGTATGTATCCCATTTGTTTTATTTTGCTTAGACACAGAGTTGCAGCCAAGTTATTCAAATGTTTTATTACTGTCACTAATATAATAGACTTTAGTTTCCCAGAAACTTTTATTGATTTTCCTTTGTTCAAACAAAATTTAATGCTATACATTGGGTACATGTCTAGTTACCACCGTAACTCATTAACTACCAGATTGAAAAACAGGCTGTGGCCAATTTAAATTTAGGTCACATTTTCTTATTTGCAGGTTTATTTACAAGTTCAGCTGCATTTTTCTTAATTATAAACAAATTCAGTAGCATACTATTTTTATAGTTACTTGAATTGTCTATAAGATATATTGTGAAACATAGTCATTTTAATTTTTGGTATGAAATTATTAAATTAATATTTACCACAGAAAAACAATTAAAAAAATTATATAAATGTGCCAACTTACCTGTCAATATTGAATTTCCAATACATTTGAAGCCTTTCATTTGGTGGTTTCCAAACAGTTAATCCAATAATAAGAAAAAATGCACATAAGAATACAGAAATAGAATAATATTTTCACTTCCAAATACTTATATGGCTTGGAAATTAAATCAAAATGAATTAACAGCTTGTTTTTTAAACCTTCTGCCAATAGCATGTGGTTCAAAAATTAACATCCTGTCTGGAAATTAAAATCTGGAACCAAAACAGGAACAGAACACTATAAATATCTGACTCATTTTACTGTGACTCAAGCACTAAAAGAAACTAAAGAAGCGCTCCCATTGGCCCATTGTAGTTAACCGGTTAAAATTATTAGAACAATCATATAATTTATTTCTATTTCTTATATCACAAGCTATTGGGTTAAAAAGAGAGTAGAATGTGAGAACACTGGTTACTGTCCTTATCAACACAGGGAAGAAGGCGTCATACTGGCCGAACAAAAGGTTAGACAATCTTCTTTTACATGCTTACTGTATATAATTGTTCATAAGCCAATCCATTTAGTTTTGGCATGGAAAATCTTGAAAAGTGTGTAACCCAATTTTAAGCTGAACCCTTTAATTTTGGCAGGTTACTTACAGCTTGCAAATTGTGTAACCTGCTCATAAGCCGACCTTATAAAATAAATGCCAGCAGAATCAATAAAGAAAATGATATTTTAAAAGTCAAAGTTTATAAAAATAATTATTGTGCAAGTAAAAATACTTAAAAACAAATAAACAATAAAATGCATAACACAGATACTTGCTTTGCATGTCTGCCTGTACATACTGTAAACATACTGAACATTTCCAAAAGTTGGACCTTTGGTTCTACAATAATTTCATTATTTAATGCAGATTCTTTGATACCTTCTAAGCACTGTAGTCACAAAATGTGTGACCCAATTTTCCACTCAGCTTTATTTTGACTTATTTAATTAATTTTTTCTTCATAGTTTTCGATGGGGCACCTCCATGAAGGAAAAAAAAAATTATTTTCAGAGAGTAAAGAGCATATTGTTGGGTGCACACCATTTCTAATTTCATTTAATTTGTGGTTTTCATGGTCTGACTAAGTAAGCATTGATTGGATGATGATACCATGAATTTAAAGGGGAAAAAATATTTAAATTAAAAGTATATATTTTAAAACAAAATTATATTATCGGGTCTGTTTAATTAGCCCTACTCAACTAACTGGAATTGATTTTAGGAAAACAAAAATGATTTTTGAGCCAACCCAAAAAATTGGAAAAAGTAGATGGCAACCATGGGCAAGGTTGCCTACTATGTTTTACAAAAATTTGGATGTATTCTATAAAAGCATCAATGTACCTGGAGAAAATTGTAAAAATCTGTGAAAAATTCTTTCGCTGACCACCCCACTTATGCTCGTGAAATAATTCCAAAAAAAGTCTGCCTATAAAAGAGTTTATATTACATTAACATATTTTACGGACTATAAGACGCACATTAATTTTTAAGCAATTATAAAAAAAATTACATCTTCAACATTTTTATATTAATTTTGAATAAAAGAAGCACCTGAATTTTGGAGGCAATTTTAAAAAAAAAAAGTGTGTCTTATAGTGCGTGAAATACGGTATATACAGTAAATGCATTTTCAGTTCACATTAATTGACTTTGTAAAACTTTTTTTATATACTTATATTAATGAGCCTCTATAAATTCTGTGTAATCTTGTTTGAAAACTGCTGTCTTAAGTGCACTAATTAAAATTTTTCAGGATAAATTTAGTATCCTACGCACTAGATATCAGAAAAATGTACAGTGGCAGCGTTTGACTCACCTGGGTAATGGAATGTCAGGCAAATGCCACCTGGCCATGGACATGAAAACATCTTTCAAATTTTGTTGTAAGAAGGTATGCACAAACATATTCTTTTCAGTGCAGCTTATTATCCCAACAATTTTAATAGAAACAACTTTTAAGTTAACTCAAACTACACCCCATTTGAGTTCATCCAACTTAAACTTCCTGAATACAAAAAAAATTAATTAAACTTTTTTTAAATTTTCAAAACTTTAGGAATGAGATAACTTGTTTCAACTAAGTAATTCCTTTTTTTTTTCTTTCTTTTTTTTTCTTTCTTTTTTTTTCTTTTACTACAGATTTTGGAAAAACTGTTTAATTTTAAACCTTAGGTATAGGTCACACATTTTTTAAACCAAAAATTCTATAAAAGTCAGGGGCACGACCTATCCACTCGTCATCATTGTGGAAACTGTTATGTCATTGATAAGAAAAGTGGGAGAAAAGTTTTCTCCCTTGCCCCCACTTATGCTCAAGAGGGCAATGAATTTCTTAAAAATGTTAATTCAAGATCATGTAAATTATGACAATTGCTTTTCTGTTTTCAATTTGTTGTTTTTGATGTCTAAGAAATATTCTCTATATTTACATTAAAAAGGGCAGGTAACTCCCCCAAACTAAGGGTGCCACCTATACAAAAGTATATACTGTATCCTCACCTTATTTAATGCATCAATTAGAGGGAATAATTATTAAGTATTGGGGGAGTAATGCACTTACTTTATCAATTTTCAGATCCACCTTTTAAGATATTCTGAGGAAGAACTCTCACTTTGGACAGAGATGCAACACCCTTATATTGTCAAGCTATATGGTGCTATTCGCCATGGAGTCAAAATATACATTTTTTCAGAGTTTATAGATGGTATGTCATGCATGATTACTTATGTAATCGTACAAAAATATCTTTAGTGAATTTTGAAGCATGAAAGTTTATCTGTCATAGTTGTATTTCATCAAGTTCTTAGCACAGTGGATGCTCTGATTAAAAGATATAAATCCTTCAAAATTTAGTGCTACTTAGTTTTGGAAATTCAGAATTCCTATTCCTTGTCTCTTAGCGAAAATAAAATTATTATAATTTGTAAACCTAAATATAGTGGTGAAGTATATATCGATTGTGCTTTCATATTTTCATCTGTCAATATTTATCAATGGCTAATATAACGTATTCATCCGTCACACATAAGGTGGTGATCTGGCCGCGTGTATTGAGGAACAGAAACGTCTTGGCAGACGCCTAAGCCATTGGTCAGCCATCAATTACTTTAAGCAGTTGCTGCAAGTCTTGGCATATTTGCAGTCAAAAGATATATTGCATGAAGACATAAAAGGTACTGCTAGCGTCATATAATTTATTGACATTAATGACTTTTTAAATGGTTAAATATATTGAATTACTTACTGTGGACTGTCTGTAGCTGTAGCAATTAACTTTAAAAGATGTAGAAAAGTTTCCAGGGCATGCTGTTGGCTTTAATAGTGGAAGAATAGATTTCAGGCTCACCCCACATCTATTTTCAAATGGTCCTTTTAGACATTTCCACACATCACAAGTTGACTGATACAAATCCTTTTTTAGAAGTGACCAGAATTCTCTTCATTGCTAATTTAATATTTTTCCAGCTGACAATATTCTGTTGAGACAAAACACAAAATACATTGCCGTTACTGATTTTGGGACTTCACGTAAACTTCAAGACCCCAAAGAATTGAAGAATAAGTCGCCAGTTGGTAGCCCGACACACTGGAGTCCAGAGAAAGCGTCCATGGAAGGTCACGGCTTTCCTTCAGATCTTTGGGCTGCTGTATGTGTTCTGGTACACATGCTCAGTGGATTACCTCCATGGTTGAAAAGATATCAAAGTGCCGGGATCCTTAACTATATTGTAAGTACTCTGTGCATAAACATGTGCTACAGGAATCAAGTTAAAGTTGCTGCATAACTTGATTGTATGTATTCAGGATGTTAAATGGTTATATGATTTCCGGTTATTGTTTGTAAAGCTCATTAGTTTATTGATCTTTTACATCATAATAATAGTTTTTTTGAAAAAGTGAAAAAAATCCAGAATTGTAAAAGGCTGTTAAATTACTTAATTTAAAAATAATAAAAGTACATTAGAATAAAGTATGCATTAAGTGACCACAACTTGCTGCTAAGGGGATTGAATGCTGGTACTAACTGTGGTATCAAAATAGAAATTGGAAGAGAGTTACTTGTCAGTTAAAAAAGTAGAGAAACTTTTGACAGTGCTTACAATCTTTTGAAATATCTTGATAATCTTACCCTTTTGTGCGGAACAATTAGGAATGTATTGTTAAAGTGGATAAACAGTTTAAAAACAGATTATCAAGTCTCCCCAAAATACAAGTATAACATTCCTTTTTCATTAACAAAAACTGCAACAACATTTTCCCTTCTTTTCTGAACATTATTTTCACAGCTATTGAGATGGAATTTTTTGATAAATTTTGTATTTTAATAAAATTCTTTGAATGGAACAACGATGTTTAAAAATTTTATTAAGAGTGACATTAGAAAATATTTGCTGAATGTTTATGGGTTACTTTGTTTCCATCAGATTTATGCCCAACCTCCTCCCATGGATGATGTACCGCAGAATGTTCAAGAAGTTGTCAGGAAACTTATTGAGAAAGGTTGGGTGAAAGATCCTCAGTACCGGCCCAGCCCTAGTGTCTTGCTGCAAGATCCTGCCTTTAGTATCTTGAGTGAGTCTGTTTGTGGCTTCAGTAGTCCAAATACATTGATTGTTTTTCATTTCTTTGGTTCATGAAATGTTCCAAGTTATTCTTTAAATGGTACAATGCATCTTTCTTGTGTTCTTTTTCATTCCCAGCACTTATCTTATGATCTTTCTTGTGTTCTCTTTCATTTCAAGTACTCATCTAAGACCTTTCTTGTGTTCTCTTTCATTGCAAGTACTCATCTATGATCTTTCTTGTGTGCTCTTTCGTTTCAAGTACTCATCTAAGATCTTTCTTGTGTTCTCTTTCGTTTCAAGTACTCATCTATGATCTTTCTTGTGTTCTCTTTCGTTTCAAGTACTAAGCTATGATCTTTCTTGTGTGCTCTTTCATTTCAAGTTGTTATCTATGATCTTTATTACTCCATGTTCTATGCATTTCAGTGTTGTTTATCTTTGCTGTGACATTGTTATTTTTCTCACTAAATAATGACAGCGTTGTCTTATTGACAGATGAAGAAACGCCTGAGACTTACTATTCAACACTTATGTCCCATCACCCTGTCCGACCAGGTGTTAGACCAGCAGATGTCAATGATGACCATCAGGTAATTATGGTATTAGGCTTTCAAGTAAATTAGATCAGTGGTCCCCAACCCCCAGGCCATGGACCGGTACTGGTCAGTGGATCAAATGTGTCTGGGCCGCCCAAGAAACATTAAATTATTTCCATTTTATTTACTTTGGTGTATTTCTCTCGGGATTGTGCGATTTCCATGAACAAGAGGTTAATGGGGAGCTGAGCGGCAATGGCGTTGTAGCTTTGGTGGAATCTACAGATATCAACAACAAGGCAATACTACTTGTTTATGTGTGATATATTTATCAGGAGGATGTGCATGAGGATTTGTTAGGTGCACTATCTTTGCACAGGAGCAGAACTGTTCAAGTCACTGGATGCCAACCAACACCACAGGAGCAGAACTGTTCAAGTCACTGGATGCCAACCAACACCACAGGAGCAGAACTGTTCAAGTCACTGGATGCCAACCAACACCAGTCCTCGTCTTGACAAGTTCAGTGACCTACGGTTGGTTGACCACAGGAGCAGAACTGTTCAAGTCACTGGATGCCAACCAACACCACAGGAGCAGAACTGTTCAAGTCACTGGATGCCAACCAACACGACAGGAGCAGAACTGTTCAAGTCACTGGATGCCAACCAACACGACAGGAGCAGAACTGTTCAAGTCACTGGGTGCCAACCAACACGACAGGAGCAGAACTGTTCAAGTCACTGGGTGCCAACCAACACCACAGGAGCAGAATGTTCAAGTCACTGGATGCCAACCAACACGACAGGAGCAGAACTGTTCAAGTCAATGGATGCCAACCAACACGACAGGAGCAGAACTGTTCAAGTCACTGGATGGTTATATATCAGGCCAACTAAAATGGTCCTTTTGTGTCGGCATATGCACAGACGGAGCTGCTGCCATGACTGGACGACTGTCTGGTTTAACTGCTGGGATTAAGGAGAGAGTGAATCTATGCATTGTATCATTCACAAGGAAATGCTGATAAGCCGAAAAATGGCACCAGAATTTAACAGCGAATCGATTGATGTCGTAAAAGTTATAAACCACATCAAAGTACACGCCCTTAACTCACGCCCGTTTCAGCAGCTTTGTGAGGAGATGGGCGCAGAGCACAGATGCCTTCTCTTGTACACAGAAATAAGATGGTATCCAGAGGAAAATCGTTAACCAGAGAATTTGAATTACGAGAGCCATTGCAAAGATTTCTCTCAGAAAGAAGTCACTGCTGGCAACACATTTCAGTGACAATAAATGGGTCGCAAAACTGGCTTAGCTGTGTGATATATTCAGCCTGCTCAATGAACTCAATTTGTCCCTTCAGGGGAAAATGACAACTGTTTTCAAGTTGGCAGAAAAAGTAGCTGCATTTAAAGTCAAACTGGAGTTGTGGGGACGGCAAATGAAAAGAGGCATTTTGGACATGTTTCAAACATTAGCGGGGATTTTAAGCGAGACTGAGCCTGAGCATTTATTCTCCCATTTGGTGCACGATCACCTGTCTTTGCTTTTAAAAGAGTTTGAGCGCTACTTCCCAACCACAAAAGACCCATGAACTGGTAAGGAATGGATCCGTAGATGGTAGATAGTTGGTATTAGGCTTTAAAGTAAATTTGATGATATGGCTGTGTAAATAGATCATATACATATGTGAAAATGCAATGTTATAATCTTAAGTTGGCACATAAATGATGAAATTTTGAATACATTTTGGTTTCAGTTTTTATCTTGCAAGATTCATAAATTTAAAAACTTGTCAGATCTGTTGATGTCGTATAAAGCCAACTCATTAAGATAAACTTGTCAGATCTGTTGATGTCGTATAAAGCCAACTCATTAAGATAAACTTGTCAGATCTGTTGATGTCGTATAAAGCCAACTCATTAAGATAAACTTGTCAGATCTGTTGATGTCGTATAAAGCCAACTCATTAAGATAAACTTGTCAGATCTGTTGATGTCGTATAAAGCCAACTCATTAAGATAAACTTGTCAGATCTGTTGATGTCGTATAAAGCCAACTCATTAAGATAAACTTGTCAGATCTGTTGATGTCGTATAAAGCCAACTCATTAAGATAAACTTGTCAGATCTGTTGATGTCGTATAAAGCCAACTCATTAAGATAAACTTGTCAGATCTGTTGATGTCGTATAAAGCCAACTCATTAAGATCTTTGTTTATTTTCAGGAGCATAAAAGCATGCTAACAACAACTATTCTGACAGTGTCTCCCAATAAAACTGTTTTATACAAGCAACATATTACCACAAGTGCTCCACAAGATACACAAAGCCAGCAAGCTCAACCAACAAATGACATCGATGAGAACATGGCAAGACAAGACGATCATTCAGCCGGTGAAATGATACGCGAGGCCCAGGAGAACACGGAGAATACAAAGCAAGGAGAAGATTTAAAGTCTGTGCTTCAAGGGGCAATGAACGAATCTGTCAAGGACCCTGTGCATCCCCAGGAGTGCAAAGGTCAGCCATCCCATGAAGGGCGGCAAGTTGTTGATTTCTTGAGTGGTTCAGGGCATTCAGGAATTCAGAACCAGGTGGCCATGGCTCAATCTACTGAGAGACCCCAACTGGCCCCCAGAGTGTCTGAACTGGTGGAACCAAGGAGCATTGATAAACTGCTGCCAGATTTTGCTGAATTGTTCCCAGATGATGAATCGGAGAACATGAGGTCCATCAAGTCCTTCTTTGTTGATAGCTATGTTGAGGGTGATCTCAAATTAAGAGAAAAGGCGCCTCTGCAAGTCTACACACCAGAAGAACAAATAACCGCTCAGTATTCACCAGAAGAAAAACAATCCCAGCAGTTGCCAATTTTGTCCATCTTTGATGCCAGCATTGAGGGATCGGCTCCTGCCAACAAGGATGACTTGAATGACACCCCCACGACAACAGGGGTGGTGACTCAGGTATCTACAGCTGCTTGCCTGTTGACAAACTCAATCTTTACCCTGTCTTCTGATTCTGAGTGTGCAAGTTCTGAGCTGTTTGATACAGTGCCTTCTGTACCTCTAGATGAGAGTGACAAGTTTTCTCAAGTTCAAAATGTTGAAGATGAAAACGACCTGAGTGGAGCTTGTGCCCTCACTATCGCCCACACCACCAATCTAATGCAAAGAAAGCCCATCAATTTGAAGTTGGATTTGAACTGTCCCCCGATGTCACGGAGCGCCAGTCCTTCAGGCAACAGCTCACTGACTTCAGGCGGTGGCGACTCAAAGAGGTCAAGTGCGGGGATACTTACGGCATCACCCCCCAGATATTCCTCCCACCAACCAAGCCCCGGCTCAGGTCAAAGTACGGGAGCAATACAAAGGCAGAGCACACATTCAGGATCAACAAGTTCTCTAGTTCAGTCATTTTTACAAACTTCTGTCACGGAAGAACAGAAAAGAATTTTGTTGGAGTATTCAGGTTTGTCATGTTGAATTTAACATTATCTCTCCTAGACCATGATGTAAACACCTACATAGTCCTTCATTCAACATTATCTTTCTCAGACCTTGATTTATACACCTACATAGTCCTTCATTCAACATTATCTTTCTCAGACCTTGATTTATACACCTACATAGACCTTCATTCAACATTATCTTTCTCAGACCTTGATTTATACACCTACATAGACCTTCATTCAACATTATCTTTCTCAGACCTTGATTTATACACCTACATAGACTCTTTTGCACAACTCTTTTACCATAATACTAATATTGTCATCTCAAGTTACATTATCATTAGATGCTGTTTATCATAACTAATATTTAACTTCCTCTTTCAAAAAAAAATTAAAATAAATTAAATGTCATCATATTTCTCAGAGAATCCAATGCAATGTCTCCATATACCCCAGGTTTCAACCTAATCCCTAGGTTTTCAAGGAATCCTGGTTGAGTAACTCGGTCTGCGTGATTAACATACCTTATGACAATAAACATAATATAACAATGAATAACTCAAATCTTATTTAGCTAATCTGAGTTATCACACTTACTTCAGTGAACTAATCTGAGTTATCACATTTTGGTTTATTATAATCAGAGTTATCACACTTACTTAAGTTAGCTAATCTGAGCTATCACACTTGCTTCAGTGAACTAATGAGTTATCACATTTTGGTTTATTTAGCTAATCTGAGTTATCACACTTCAGTTAGCTAATCTGAGTTATCACACTTATATTAAATCATTCAGTAACCTTTAGTAAGCTGGAGTTGACAAAATGAACAAATTATACAGGTGCTGTCCCTTTTTTAAGCCCCTTGAAATTTTTTGCAAATTAAACATTTTTTAAAATTAAATTTTAAAATTCAGCCATCTTGTAATTGTTTTCCCTTGTTATAAGTCACTAATGAATAATTCTTCCTTTTGATTTCAGTTAGCACTGACGCCACTCTCCCTGGAATCAATGATGATGATGACTCTGTTGTTGACACAGGATACAATGCTAACATAAATGTATGTCTTGGTAGCTTGGCTATGGAGAAGAACCTTTTTCTACCCAAAGAAAAATGGCTCGTTTCCAAAGTTTTTTTTTTTTCAAAAATAAAATGTCAGTTAATTTAACTTGAAGGTACGTACATTCAACCAGTGACTGGTCAACATCATTTTAAATTAAAAAGAACTGCTGAAGTTACCATCGGATTCCTCGATTAAAGTTGAGTTTGTAAAAAAATTTCCATTGAATTTGGATTAACAAAATATCGAAATTATCAGAATTAAGTAAACTTGAAACCACTTTTGTGGGTTATAATTGACCAGACCATTTTGTGTTGACCGTTGGGTTACGCACGAACTTAAGAACACCATAGAATGTCCACACCACTAAGTATTCCCAGATAACAACCTACTTTTGATCAGGGCGAATTCTGACCCTCAAAGTTAGGACTTTAATAAATTAAAAAATTCATTTGTTCCCCCAATCTGTCAGAATTCACCAGCATGTTCTTCTGGGTGTTACTAAATGTTATTGATCATGCTTAAAGTCAGTATTGTCACTGAGGGAATGAAAATGATGGTATATGATGTGGCTGTTCTTTGTGCTTGAGATATTGAAAAAATGTCTAGCATTTATCTTTTAATAATAAAAATTGTCTTGGTAAGAATATTAAAATTAAATTAATAATGGAACAAGATATGTTTAGACTTGAAAAAAAATTACATATTTATCTTTGTGCCGAAAATAAATATGCATATTATTTTACAATGTCATAAAAAAACATTTATATCTATTTTGATCAATCAAAGAACCTTATTTTATGAAACAGCAGACGGTAGTTTTTATTTTAAAAACAGGACCTTGAGAAGACTTATTTTAGCGGGCGGTTTTTGTGATCAGTGAAAAAATATGTCAAAACTGGAAGATATTGTTTCATGTTCTATTCCTAACATAAAAGTTGGTCTTAAATTACTCAGTTTTCAAACTCGATGAATATCCAGTTACGATATTACAGTGATTTTTTAAAAAAAGTACATTTTGGAGAGATGTTTTTCGTTGTCATAACCTGACCAAATGAGCACACATCACAGCAGAATGCTATTGTCTCCTTGACATCTAGGTTGATGAAACCCAGCAGGATGATGCCACTGAGGATGTGCTGTCCATGCTTCGTAATGAACTTGATGACACAACTTTAGGTTTGCAAAGCTTTCTCTTTAAAAAATATTTAAAAGTAGCAATTACTAAATTTTAAAGTGATGGGTTAAACTCCCACACAGCCATAATGACTTAATACAATAAGTTAAACTCACTGCCATAATTACTAAATACAGTAAGTTAAACTCACAGCCATAATGACTAAATACAGTAAGTTAAACTCACACAGCCATAATGACTAAATACAATAAGTTAAACTCACACAGCCATAATGACTAAATACAGTAAGTTAAACTCACACAGCCATAATGACTAAATACAAGTTAAACTCACACAGCCATAATGAATAAATAAGAAATACAATAGATAAAACTTGCAAGCTCCTTTGGAAGTTAAATTAAAACTTTTAAAACTATTTACATAGATTAAATAAAACAGAATATTTTTAATATTTTTATTCACAGATGGTGTCAAGCTGGAATTTTATGATCATTCTAACGAAAAATTATTTGAAATTCGTGTCGCAGAGTCGCCCATTTTCTTAAAATACATCATTGAAATAGCCAGGAACAAGGTTCGTTCAAATCTTTTTCTTTAGGTGCATGCGAAGCACTTTAAATGTAAGTTTTAATTATGTGGTCATGCAAATTTAGCCCTTCGTTTACACCTGAACCCCTTGTTTCCAGACCTCTTCCCATCTCTTGTTCCCAGACCTCTTCTGACCTCTTGTTCGGAGACCTCTCTGACACCTTGTTTCCAGACCTCTTCCGTGGAGCCTAAAAAATTTCTTACCCTCCTCTTTAATCATAACACCCCCTAATGAAAACAACCCCTGGCCATAACACCCCCTAGTGATAGTGTTAGGCATTGTAATCTGTTGCTACAGTTGTTCACATAGAGTTTAATGAAAATTGTGCACAGAATAAGGGTGACTAAACTTTGATGCAAATAAAATAATCTTAAAAATTCTTATTGAAAAAATAAACTTTTTTGTATTGAATTGTGATGAATAATCAATTAGATACCTTTACTTTCAGTTGGTTTGTTTTATATAAATATAATCCAATAGCTACCTTTATTTGCAATTGTGTTTTTTTTTTTTCAGATTAAACAGTGCCAGTACATACATTTCACATTTTGTTATTTAAATGGGGCACTGCTGGACTTCTTTAGACCAATATCGACACAACAGCTCAAAGTTGTACAACTGACAGATCCAGCAGACAAATGTTTGTGTGGTCAATGTCCCGCCATTTTCTAGAGCAGCGTTTCCCAGGATCCTGTTGATCCAGTCACGACACAGGAAGATGTGACATCTTATTATTCAGTGGAGCAACACCCGCGGGGTCGAAGGTGGCTTGTTCTATTCCATTATTGTCCAGGCATCCACAAAAGTGTTGTCAGACAATCAGTTGTGTTTTTTCATTGTGTTGAATGTCCATCCAGGCATGTTTGAGAATGCCAAAGCAAAAAGCCAAAGAAACAAGCTTGGAGGTGAAGGGAGAAATTAGGGACAAAGTTTAATAACTTTGATCTGCGAATAAAGTTATCTGCTCTGTGGTTTCTGGTTATCAAAACACCTCTTGGTATTAAATCATTCAAGTTTTTTTAGATCTCTTTTCATCTTTATAAGAGTAAATACCTTTTTAATTGAATATTTAAAAATTCTATGGACTTAGAGGCTAGAATAAAGGATTTTAGTAGGGCTGGGACAGAATTTTTTTGTTTGAAAAGTCCACACAAAAAATTGTTTAGGCAATGCTGTTTAAGAAACAATTGATAAAAGTCCACCTGTGCTCTACAATAGGCAAGGCAATATATTATTATCATCTGAAGCTTTCATTGTTACTTATTTGTTATATTTTTTTACGTTAAACTTTCCATACAATGATTGAACTTATTTCCCCAATTTAAGATTTGCTGCACACTAATTTTTCTAAAAACATTTTTTCCCCGTTTGTGCTTACATTAATTCTTGTCATACATTTACTACAATATGCTAACTCCAATAATAGATTTCATTTGCATAATGGCCATGTGTGGCTGAATGCAAAAAGCTGTTACCCATTTTCTAGAATCCTCTTGAAGACCAGCTCTTTTTTGTGTACAGTATACACATTTGAGATATCTTTTACTATTGAATGCAGAGACCTGACAGAACTATGATTATACGAGACTGGGTTTTAAAAATATATTCCGGTGGTTGTAATGATTTTAAATTTAAAACATATATATATATATATTTATTATAAATAAAACAATGTTTTCGGTAATTAGTTTTAGAGCTTCTCTACAGTTGACAGTGAATGGACAGAGAAATATGATGCGATTGCAAAAAGAGAGAAAACTAGGGATTTTTTAAAAAAGTGCTGTCACCTGTACCACACAGCAGCTTGAGTTTTTGATATATTTTAAAAGATATAGCAGGCAGCATTTGAAACTTATTTAAAAAGTCATTTAGTAGCTGTTCAAGACCCCAGCCCTCCTCTTCCCTTGTCTTATTAGACTACAGCCCTCCTCTTCCCTTGTCTTATTAGACTACAGTATGTCAACGGAAAATAAAAGCAAGCTCATAGGCTTAATGCAAGGGTGGGCAATTCGCCACCCACCAAGTTAAAAATTGTGGCCCGGGGTATGTATCAAAAATGAACTTATTTCTTCATCCAATTAGGGATAATTTTTATTTTTGGCTTTAACACACATTTGAAATATATATGCAACATTTTTTGTGACAGTGTGCGCCATTGTGACAGAGTGCGCCATTGTGACAGTGTGCGCCATTGTGACAGTGTGCGCCATCCAAGTTTTCCTTGCTCCATTTTAGACTGATTTTTTAAATGAAATAGATTGAAATAAGTAATAAATTATAAAACAGTTTTACTCTTAAGTAATAACTAAAAATATAAATGATTTATTTAAACACAGCTAGGTAAGGGGAACCTAATTTTCCACAAGTGTTATGATTAAGTGTATGATGCAAAACTAAATTCTGGTATATACCAAAGAGCATTCCTGCATTTTGAATTTATAAAAAATATCTGGGAAGAGGCTCAGTCTCCCCACCTCCACTTTTGCTCAGGTGACTTCAATAGGCGTCCTCTTCCTCTGCCCACCCTCAACCTCTGCCCACCCTCCCCTCAAGTGGCAATTAATGGGCACTGTTTTTATTTTCAATAGTGCACTGTATATAAATATATAAACGTCAGTCATCTACTGGGAGAAGTGACAATAGTTTGACATGCATGCACTGGATGTTTATTTATTTACTATTAAAAGGGTATTGCATGATATAAATATGGTAAAGTACTATTCTGAGACTATATTGTACTATTTTGGGAGTTCCAGTGTAACCAGGTCTTCTCTTGTTAATGTTCCCGTCAATGATGCCATTGGACCACATGGACATTATTTCTATCTATACTGTGTGATAATTTAGGTTAACTTTACTATTTTTCATAGATTTATGCACTGATGAGCTAAAGAAATCATTATGGGAAAAATAAAATCCAGTTTCAATGGAATAGACCCTTCTTGTAATTTTAATTCTGATCTGATTCCTCCATTAGCAATCACTTCTATGCCGGCATGTTTGTAAAATATTTCGTTGAGTGAGAAGTAGGCCTTTATATCTCTGATCAAACAACTTTGTTAGCCATCTATATTTCCCTTAACACTTGAACTCTTTGCTTGTGATGATGAATCCATGGCAAGACCAGGCGGAGTAAAGTTAAAACCGCTCAGGCTTCAGTTAGCCTCATTGTCATTTCAGCTATTTAGTTTTGCTTATATCTACTCATATTTTTGTTGTGAATCATTTTTATTCCATGATTGTATTCCATTGATTTGTGTCTTACTGATGTAGCATGTATAACCATGTCACATTTTGTAAGTTCCTAATTCCCTTTTTTTAATGGCTCGTCCACTATTTTTAATTGTTTTGCTAAACATTTCCATACCGCATCCCAAAGATGGATGTTTATAGTGTTAATGCCATAGATTTGTGCCATAGATAAATAACCTTTATTTTGTATTTTTATCTATTCAGGTTACTGCTAACTTTTTTAGATCAATTGAGCAATTTTGTTATGGGGTTTTCAAATAGTTATCTATGATATTTCTTGTTATCTTTCAAGTAGTTATCTATAATCTTCATCAACTGATGTTCTATGTATTTCAGCTATGTTAATTGTTTGCTGTGACATTGTTATTTTTATCAAGATATAAAGTACTTTATTGTGCCATAATATTTACATCTCTATTTTACTTTTAGAACATTTTTAACTCACTTCATTTTTTGATGATTCCCGGTTTTGTAACTTTAATACTTTCTGATTGACATCTTGGACTTGGATTTATATTTGCTTTATGTAAAACATGCTTTAAAATGTAATCGATTTTTATTTTTTATTTTTTAAAATTTACACATGATCATTTATTGAATTATCCACAACATAACTGATTTTGTGGAATATAAAGATGCTAGTAGTTTGTCAATGTCATGACGTCTTTTCTTTGGTTAAATGTTTGTCATTCTGAACTAGGTCTTCATCAGCTTTGTTGATACAAACTGTTGTATGCCTATCCTGTTTAGTAGCTACGCCATTTGTATAAGCACATTTATATTATAGCCAGCCATCTAAATAATGCAAACTAAATATAAAGGCACACTCGCTTCTCACATGTTTCAGCAGTCCAACAATAAACTATTTTAAACTCATCTTGTGTTGAAGAATTTGTTCAGTTTTTTTGGAGTGAGCCAGGCAAATCTGTATTTGTTAGCAGTCCAACATTTTGTTAGCAGTCCAAGTGTCTCAGTCGACAAATGGCCTTATGTTAGCAGTCCAAGTGTCTCAGTCAACAAATGGCCTTATGTTAGCAGTCCAAGTGTCTCAGTCGACAAATGGCCTTATGTTAGCAGTCCAAGTGTCTCAGTCGACAAATGGCATTTTGTTAGCAGTCCAAGTGTCTCAGTCAACAAATGGCCTTATGTTAGCAGTCCAAGTGTCTCAGTCGACAAATGGCCTTATGTTAGCAGTCCAAGTGTCTCAGTCAACAAATGGCATTTTGTTAGCAGTCCAAGTGTCTCAGTCAACAAATGGCCTTATGTTAGCAGTCCAAGTGTCTCAGTCAACAATTGGCATTTTGTTAGCAGTCCAAGTGTCTCAGTCAACCAATGGCATTTTGTTAGCAGTCCAAGTGTCTCAGTCAACAAATGGCATTTTGTTAGCAGTCCAAGTGTCTCAGTCAACAAATGGCATTTTGTTAGCAGTCCAAGTGTCTCAGTCAACAAATGGCCTTATGTTAGCAGTCCAAGTGTCTCAGTCAACAAATGGCATTTTGTTAGCAGTCCAAGTGTCTCAGTCAACAAATGGCATTTTGTTAGCAGTCCAAGTGTCTCAGTCAACAAATGGCATTTTGTTAGCAGTCCAAGTGTCTCAGTCAACAAATGGCCTTATGTTAGCAGTCCAAGTGTCTCAGTC